AGTCTTTCTTTCTCTTTGCTTTCTGATCACCATGTGAGTGGCTTCCCTCTGCCATACTTTTCTGCCATGAAGTCCTGCTTCATCTCAAGCCCCAAAGAATGGAGCCAGCCTTCTATGGACTAAGACCTCTGAAACTGTAAGCTCTCAAACTTTTTCTCCTCTACAATTTTTCTTGTTGGGTCTTTTAGTCACAGCAGCAAAAAAGCTGACCAAAACAACTCCTTACCTAATACACTGGTCCCTCTGGGGAGAGATGTAGTGTGTGACCCAGATCTCCTCTTTAGGGCTGCAGTCCTTGTTCACTGGTTGCTCATGGCACTCGCAGTGAAGTCCCCTTCTCAGGAGTTTCTCTCAACAAAAGAGAGCACCTTGCCCGGGATCATGCCCTTCTCTGAGGGCAGTTCACATCCCATGATCCAATGATAGATCTGCAAGAGAATCAGAGGTGTAATAGGTGAAATAAAGGCAAAACCTCCTTGCTGTAGGTGAGACAACCCTGAAGGGATTTTCAGCTCCACAGATGGGGTGGTAGAGGCTCGGCAGAGACGCATGGCTGCTCAAGTCCTTTGCCCATGATTCTGCCTCTGCCTCCTTAGGGAGTTATTGGCAGCACTCCCAATGAACTGCCTGCATGCTTGTCTCCAATTTGGTTCTCAGGGGATTTGTCCTTACACAGTGAGTTTCTGTCAAATACACACTGCTATTTTTTTGAAGATAGTGCCTTCCTGACAAAACTCGATTTCCTTCTTCTATCAGGTACTAACCAAAGTTGGCCATTTCATCTATTTGGGTCTGCTCCCTGTTTCCCCACTCCTCAGAAATTCTACTAGTTGGCCTTATCTCCTTCATACTGCCCAGAGAGTCCAGTGTCTCTGGTTTGAACTGTCTTATCACCAACTCTGTCTCTGATATTCTTTTTTTTTTTTTTTGCAAAATAATAAAAATACTTCTCAGTTCATATTCTGTGCTGGACACAGTGATAACTACTCAGGATATGGAAATTAATAAATGTACCAGGTGCAGTGGCACATGTCTATAATCTCAGTGACTTGGGAGGCTGAGGCAGGAGAATTCCAAGTTTGAGGTCAGCATCCACAACTTAGCAAGACCCTGTCTCAAAATAAAAAGGATTAGGAATGTCATTCAGTGGTAAAGCATCCTGTGTTCAATCCCCAGTATGAATAAGAAGAAAAAGGAGGAGGAGGAGGAGGAGAGGAGGAGGAATTGGAGGGGAGGAAGGAGGAAGGTGGAGAAATTTTTGCCTTTGAGTGGCTTGAATCTCAAATATGCCACTTTACTAGCCATTGACTTTGAAAAAAAAAGAGATTGAAAAGAAGTGACCAGAAAGGTAAGAAGAAAATGGAAAGAAAATTATGTCCTGGAAGTCTCTTCAAATAGGAGGGAGAGATTGACTATGTCTAATGCCAGTTGATATGTCAAATAAAAGAAGAATTTCTATTGGCTTGTGATATACTAGGTCATCAGACAAGAGCTGTTTTAGTGAGTGGTTAGTTGTTTTAGTTGGCTTTTGTGTCTCTGTGACCAAAATACCTGACAAGGACAATTTAGAGGAGAAAAAGTTTATTTGGGTTCACAGTTTCAGAGATCCAGTCTACAGTCGGCCACCTCCATAGCTCTGGACCCTGACAGGGCAGAACATCATGGCAAAAGGGCACCTTGCCCAGGATCATGCCCTTCTCTGAGGACAGAGGGAAGCAGCCAGGAAACAGAGAGTGAGCTTCAATCACCAGGGATAAAATATGAACCCCAAAGGCACAGCCCCAGTGACCTGCTTCCTCCAGCCACACCCAACCTGCCTACACTTACCACCCAGTTAATCTGTATCAGTGGATTAATCCACTGATTAGGCTACAACTCTCATAATCAAATCGTTTCCCCCTTGGAACAGTCATAATTGTCTCACACGTGTGTTTTGGGGGGACATCTCATATTTAAACATAACAGTAGTGCACAACAGCCTAAATGGAGCAAATTCAAGAGAGAAAAGCATTTGGAGGAAGTAAAGGGGGTGTACCACACTTCAAAGGAGCTTGGCTATAAAGGCAAACAAATGGAGTAGCAGATCACAGGAGGTATGTCTTCAGTTAGGACTGGAGATTCTGTAGCAAGTTTTTACAGTGGTGGAAATGATGAAGTTAAGAGGGGACATTGTAGGGGCTGGGGATGTGGCTCAAGCGGTAGCGCGCTCGCCTGGCATGCGTGCGGCCCGGGTTCAATCCTCAGGACCACATACCAACAAAGATGTTGTGTCTGCCGAGAACTAAAAAATAAATATTAAAAATTCTCTCTCTCTCTCTCTCTCTCTCTCACACA